TAATAATCTTATTTTTTTTGTTTTTTTTTCATTTAATCAATAAAATCATTGTAATTAATTATAGTGATGATAATGGAACTCTATTAAATTTGACAGAAGATTTCATTTCCGAATATCCAGGAAATGTTACTCTTTTTACGTCATTGGCCACTGCTGATGAAGGTTATGTAATATTGTATGCCAAATATTCAGTCAATGAAACTGATGTTATGAGTCCATTAGGCGGACTGAATGCTAGATTTATAACTTACAGCAAAACTCCCACAGCATCAGACAATCCTATTCCTCTTTTTCAAATAACTAGGACTGAAATGAAAATTAACGCAATTCATTGTAATACATATTTTGGATTTTGTTACTATTGTGTTGTTTCCATCATCTACAACAGCACAGTGTACTATGAAGAAATTCAATTTTGTTCAAAGGTTTTTTTATACTCCGGGAAATTACCTCACACTCCCAACGAAATTAGTGTGCCCTGGAGTGTGTCTTCGACACCTGTCGGCGGATACGTATTTTCTGCTGTAGTTAATACCACTTATTTTATTTATATTTATGATGTGAATCATTATGATAATTATTACGATAATTATTTGAAAGTTAATATAACATATTTTAATACAACTGGAATTGGCGCATATAGCATCCTGAAAAATAATAATACTCTTTTATTCTCTCTACGAGATACAAATAGCAAAAGTACATCTTGGTCTTTGCTTGCTGTTCAGTTACAATTACCAGATTGTATGTTTTAAATATTTATTCATAAATAATGCTCTTTTCTATTTGTAAATTCATAAATGCTTATTTATTATTTCATTCACATCAATTTAGACCGTGAGTATAAAGACGATTTATGAATTGATGGAGTTACTATAAAATCATGGAGATAAATACTCATACATGCTTATTATTTTTTTGCATTTAGACGGTGAGTATAAAGATTATTTGTAAATCGACGTATTCATAAATTCATAAATACTTATTATTTTTTTGCATTTAGACGGTGAGTATATAAGATTATTTATAAATCAACGTATTCATATATTCATAAATGCTTATTATTTTTTTGCATTAATTTAGTCTGTGAGTATAAAGATTATTTATAAATCGACGTATTCATAAATTCATAAATGCTTATTGTTTTTTTGCATTAATTTAGTGGGTGAGTATAAAGATTATTTATAAATCGACGTATTCATAAATTCATAAATGCTTATTATTTTTTTGCACTAATTTAGTGGGTGAGTATAAAGATTATTTATAAATCGACGTATTCATAAATTCATAAATGCTTATTATTTTTTTGCATTAATTTAGTCTGTGAGTATAAAGATTATTTATAAATCGACGTATTCATAAATTCATAAATGCTTATTATTTTTTTTGCATTAATTTAGTGGGTGAGTATAAAGATTATTTATAAATCGACGTATTCATAAATTCATAATGCTTATTATTTTTTTGCATTAATTTAGGGTGTGAGTATAAAGATTATTTATAAATCGACGTATTCATAAATTCATAAATGCTTATTATTTTTTTGCATTAATTTAGACAGTGAGTATAAAGATTATTTATAAATCGACGTATTCATAAATTCATAAATACTTACTTATTTACCATTCATTATTTCATTCGCATTTAGCTCGTGAGTATAACGTTAATTTATAAATTGATAGAATTATTGTAAAAAATCATAGTCATAATACTTATTTATAAATACTCTTTCTTATAAATTCATAAACGCGTACATTCATTATTTTATTCATATTAATATAGAATGTGAGTATAAAGATGATTTATAAATCGATGGATGAACATCAATATATATTCATGACTACTCATTCTTATTCATAAATTCATAAATACTTACATATTTACCATTTATTATTTCATTCGCATTAATTTAGGGTCAGGGTGTGAGTATAACGTTGATTTATAAATTGATAGAATTAAAATTATAAACATAGATCATAAAAAAATTCTCATAAATATTTTTTCTTTTCTATAATTACTTATTTAACATTCGTTATTATATCTATTTAGTGAGAAATTATGACAATTATGGTAATATGATGATTGCCAATGTTACCGCACCCATTAATTCTAGTGTCGATTTATCAACGACCAACATAAGCATCTATTTTTATATGCCCGTTTATTTGTCAACTGGAAACATCACTATCTACAAAGCTTCTGACCACAGCATTAGGCAGAGAGTTTCAACAACCTCTGAGTTCTGTAACCTCAGTAATGATGGGAGGGTTGTCAATATAAGTATCATTAATAGCACATTTAATGATTATGGAGAGAAGTATTATGTGAAAATGAGTAATAATTTTGCTAAACAAAAACATTTTAATGAACCTATAAGAGGAATTGAAAGTAACGTTTGGATCCTTAAATCAGGTACCTTTAAACGTATTTTTTATTTGTTTTAAATATATCATCTATTTTATCTTTTCTATCTTTTAAATCATTTAGATTATAAAGCACCACCTTCAGGTATTGACATTATATTTATGTTTAATATGCTTCACATGATTTTCATTATCTGTAATATTTCCTTGCAGAAGCCGCTGCTACGGGTTTAGCAGTTCTCACTATAGATGCTTCCAAAAAATTCCTAACATCTAGAACCAATCAGTCAGAATACTTTGATACTCTATTAAATGAGCTTGCTCGTAAAGTACCAGTTAGGCGGGAGCGTTTAAGTTCGGATAAGAAATTCCAACGTTTCAACGAACTTGGTCAAATCGTTATTTCAATCCGTATAGATTTGCCAATTAATGAAACTGAAAATACTGTTCCGGGTGTATTTTCAAATATAAACAATATGATTCTTTACAAAGAAATCACCACATTCCACACTGGTGTGACAAATGATTTAAACTCGACTCTTGGCTTTCAACCAGTAGGTGAGTTGGTAACTGCATTCTAAATATTGATAGAATTGAATCACACGACTAATTTTCCTATAATAGAGGGTCCATGGGATAAATTCAAATTACAAATAATTGCTGCAATTACAATTTTTACAATAATATGTTTATTTTATCATATATTGAGTTATAAGCTACACTCGAAAAAATTTGAAGCAATAAGTTCTGCAATATTAAGGCTTGGATTAATCATTCCAAATTTTATTCTTTCAATTCTCTTTATCGTTTACTATTCTAATGATATACCGGGGCTTTATATACCAAGGTATTCTTATCAAATATGTTTAAACTAGTGTTAAATTATTTTTACCTTATTTTAATTCTCGCCAAATCAACAAACACATAGTGTGCTCTTGCTTATTGTTTCGCTACTCATAAACCTCTGTATAGCTATTTATGCTATTTACAATGGAATTAGAGATCCTATCGTTGGTGAAGAGTTTAAAAAATGGGTTAAACATAAGCGAGGATTAGTGACTATATTCACTATATTAGCAGCAACTGATTATGAGTATCTGACAATTTTGAAAGATGCACCTATATTTAATGAAGCAACAATTGATTTTAAGTATCTAACAATTATAAAAGATGTGAATAAAGCGGAAATTGACAAGTATTTAGAGATTTTAAAAAACGTGCTTATATCAGATGAATCTAATAAATCTGATATAATCAAACAAATTAATATATTAAAAGTTTTGAAAGTGCTGCTTAGATTTGATGAATCTGATGAATCTGGTGAATTTGATGAATCTGATGAATCTGTAGAAATCAAACAAATTGAAAATATAATCAAACAAATTAAGACATTTAGGCAAATTTTTAGATTCACAATTATATATGGAGCATTCTTTGACATTTTTTTTAGAAATATTCCTCAGATTGTTATTCAAGTAAGAATTCATTATTATATTTATGCGCAAAATTTTAGTTTTATTAATCAATTTGTCTTTGTATTTAAATATTTTATTCTTAAGGTCATTTACTACAACTCCGTCTTGATATATTATTTAGTGCCATTATTTTTATTAATCACATCTTGCCTTAAGATTTTCATGATAATAATTAGATATATGTACAAAAGAGCGTTGCTGGATGTTTTTAAGTGAGTATAAAATTTATTTATGGGAAATTCTATTTTGACCCGGGTCAAAATGACCCTTCCTAGAATTTAGGGTTAGTGCGGGCCGGAATTATGTTAATGGCTGCCGGGTTTTTATACTAAAAAAACCCGGCCAGCATCAACATAATTCTGGCCCGCATTAACCCTAAAATTTTGCTAAGGGTCATTTTGACCCGGGTCAAAATAGAATTTCCATTTATTTATTTGTTTTTGAAATCAGCATTTACCATTGCACTAATTTTGTTCTAATCAAATAAATCATTAGGAGGTTAGCATAAAATTTTATATCATTCATTTGTTAAACTAAATGTTACGTTCTGACTTACTAAATTATACTTGCATTAAAGGGAGTAAGTATTAAAGTTCGTTTTACGAAATTAGCATTTAATAATTATATCCTCTAATCGATTATATGAATATTAAAATTCCCAGCTTGTGAGTATTGCATAATCATTCATTGCTTAAATATTATTTTAGCATTAATTAATTAATTACGTACTTTTAAATAGGAGGTGAGTAAATTTAAAATTTCTTATAGATAGGAATTCAAATTCAACATTCAAAATTAGGCATTTCTATTTATCTGCATGCTAGTATTGCTACTGATATATTTGCACTTTTATTTTTCACAAGTTTAAAACCTTTACAAAGACAAATGAACTAATATAAATCTAATATATGCTATTTATTATAAAAGGGATAGTATTTACGGAAAATACGGAAAATGTGAACAATGTAAGCAGTATAACACTTCTTGAGCTTGGTGTTTAAATTGTGATCTTGAGAAAGAAACTCAAGGATGGACAAGTGGTAATAACGATATTGATGAAGAAATCAAAAAGTTTCAACTTGAAGCTACGGCATATGAAAAAGTAATTGAATGGATTCAATACAATGATTTAACAAAAATTGAAAAGGTTAAATGGGTTCCAATGGATGGAAACAATTTACAAGTAATTGAAGAGAAATTGGATTTCTTTATGGCATATTGGAAGATACGAACAATTGAAAATGGATCTGGAGGATATACGCGATCACGCACTGAATCACGAGTTGACCTTATAAAATTGCACAATACTCAAACAAACACTTCAGATTTTATAACGAAAGTAAGTTAAATTTTAATACGTTATTAATTTACTGCATTGAAGATTGTAAGACTTCTAAAACGACATATATCTTATAAGCTTAATGAAATGATGAAAGAGAAATATAGAGTATATGGAATAACTAGAGATGAGACCGGACAGTACATGATTGTTCTTGATTATTATTCCAAAAAAAGAGATATCAACAAATATGGAGCGTGTAAAGAATGTAAACGACCTAATACCAATCCAGAATGGTGTCAATCATGTGATCCCTCTATGATTCAAAATAAATCATTGAGTGAAGACTACGAGATTAATAAATGCATCAAAGAATTTCAACTTAAAGCTACGGCATATGAAAAAGTAATTGAATGGATTCCGTATAAAAACTTATCCAATGCTGAAAAAATTGGTGAAGAAGGATTTGGTACAGTATATTCAGCAATTTGGTCCGATGGTAAGCGAACTGTCGAGAAAATCGATAATTTCTATAAACGATCACGTAGATTACCTTATGTTGTTGCACTTAAAACCCTTCCTGGTTCTAAGATGGATGTATCAAATGTTTTAAAAGAGGTAAGAATACAGTATTATTTAATCGGTCGTAAACTTTATGTATAAATAAAATTTTAATTACATGACTTTCTTTTGAAGTTTAAAAATCACATGAAATGTAGATTAGAAGGTGCTGAACTTGAAATGTATGGATTGACACAAAACACTGAAAATAAGGACTACTTAATGGTATTTCAGTACGCAAATAAAGGATGTCTTCGTAAATTTTTAAGGGAAAATTTCAGCGAACTTATATGGCAAAAGAAATTGGAGCAACTTAAATATATGTCAAATGATTTATATCAGATTCATAAATCAGGATTCACACAGTGTGACTTTCACAGTGGTAATATTTTACTAAATCAAAACTTGGATGGAAAAATAATATCATATATAGCAGATCTTGGATTATCAAGAAAAATTGGTGATGATTCAAATGATAAAATTTGTGGAGTTCTGCAATATGTTGCCCCAGAAGTTTTATCAGGCAAGCAAAGTTTACACCAGCATCAGATATCTATGGATTTGGTGTTATTATGGCCGAAATAACTGGTATAAGACCTTTTGATGGTTTTGAAGACGATAATGAACTTACATTCGTGATTTGCAGTGGATTACAACCAAACTTGGCTTCTGGAACACCCGAATGTTATGTTAAATTGGCTAAGGAGTGCATGGATCCAAACCCACAAAAACGGCCTAGTGCTTCGGTTATTAATAAAAGAATTAATGACTGGCTTGAAAAGTTAGCTTCAGATGATGAAAATGAAATCAAAAAAAACTTCTTAGATGCTGATGAAGACATTAAAAAATCACCAATAACTCTTCAAAAGCATTTTGGTCATATGAACAGGAGCAAAGTTATTAATATACAAAACATACCAAATGCGACTATAGGTATTTATTTAAAAAATCAATTTGAAAATAATTTTATGTAAATAATTAAAATATATTTTATAATTTTTAAATAAGAATCGACTTCTACAAGTAAAACTATTGAAGTTATTGAGATTTCTATTGGTAAGTTTATGATGTTAAACTTATTCATAATATAAAAATTTATTAATTACATTATTTTGATTTCTAGATTCTTGAATTATTTAAAGATATAATTATTATCTTATTTTACACGTTATACCGACAATTGGTTATACTTTCTCAAAAAAAAAAATTTATCATTTTAAAATTTGCTGATTATGCCGACAATCATAAGAGATATTAATTATACTGGTATACCGACAATTTTAATGTTAAAAAAGTCAAGATTATTTTTCGTTGCTGGATATAGTGACAATTTTTGTAACCGACTATTGTTATAGGTGTAGCTATCAAATTAATTTTTTAAATTGACTTAAAGTATTTATATTAACTAGAAATTACTGCCCAGTTCAAAATAACAATTATATATAGCATTAGATATAATAGTTGATGTGATAACAACATGATGTTACCAATTATTAATAATTTGATGTTATTTAATTTAGCAAATCGAAATTAAATTCTTTTGGATGGTTTGAAATTTACTTTTTTTCTTTAAATCCTAAAAACCAATTTAGACTCCGGAGGTCTTGTAATAGAGTTAATATGGAGTTTGTATATGGAAATATATAATAAGATAGCTGCACAGTACATGTTGCTGCGATTAAACCTATGTGCCGCACAAAATGCGCGGTTGATCCTCGATTTTGATTGGCTAACGGTCGTGATCGACAAAATTTTGGCCGGAATTAATTTTTTAATTTTTTTTGTTCCAAATATGGAAATTTTTAAGGGTTTGGCTGTAAAATTAACAGGAGCGACCGTCAAGGTTACACAAGCTGCCGATAACCTCCGGCCATCAGTCAGCCAATCAAAATTTCAAGG